ACTGCCTAGTCCCCGCCAACTCCACAACCCTTGCTATACTTGAGCCCATCGCCACAGCCACTGTGTCAATCCATCTCGTTGAGGGACTTCCCCTCTTTCGTTGACCTTCCACCTTACTAAGCATGACATCCTTCTCCAGGGAATGGTCCCTTCTGATAACATAACCAAAGTAAGTGAGAGGATGTCTCACTCCCAAGGAGCATTCCAGCTCCACATCCTCCAGGACAGATTTGTTAGTTCTTTTAGCAGTCCATGGTACTTTCCGTATTCTTCACCAGCACCACAACTCAAAAGCATCAACTCCTCTTTGGCCTTCCTTATACCTTCCTTTATATTATTAGTTGCCATCAAGTCTCTCTGCCTCTCTAAGACTCCATATAAAACAGAAGGAAGCATTGCTTAATTCTGCATCATCCTCACAATTGGCAGAACATTCAGTCCATTGTCACAGCTATTGTGTCAGTCCCCTCACCCTCTTTGGCATTCTACTTCATTAAACATCATGATGTCCTTCTCTGATAATTGGTCTTTCCTGATGACATGTCCAAAGCAAATGAGTCAAATAATGTTGTTTTGATCTGTAAGATTTTCATTGGCTGATTTTCAGAAGTAGATCACCAGAACTTTCTTCCCACTTCCAGAAGCTCCACTGAAACCTGCCAACCAGGCTGTGTGTGAAACACCAGGGGCATAGCTTCCAGCATCACAACAACAAATATACCACAGTGATGCAGCAAACTGCAATTGAGTGGTAGCCTTTGCCTCCTATTCCTTAATGTTTCCCATTAATTCATCTCTTGGTCTCCTTCATGTTCCCTAATCCCTTCCAGCACCCACCTTCTTGCCCCTCCATTGAGGCACATGATGTAAAGAAAGGAGAATGTCTTTACAGGGCAGAGGACTTGATCTAAGCCCTGTCTCCACCTCTGCCCAGTTATATGTTATATGTGTGATTTAACTTCACGATGCCTCAGTTTCCCAAGTGTAAAAATTTCTTTCCAGAGGACCAGAGGAGACAAACCTACAATGTTATCCTTTTATTTGCACTTCTACCTATGTGAATAGACCTTGTTGTTGTTGTTGTTGTTGTTGTTGTGTGCCGTCGAGTCGGCCCCGACTCATAGTGACCCCTCCTTGGGTTTCCAAGGCAGTATCACTACGGAAGTAGATTGCCCATCCTTCCTTCCGAGGAGTGGCTGGTGGGCTTGAACCGCCAGCCCTCTGGTTAGCAGGCAAGTGTCTTAGCCATTATGCTACCAGAGCTCCTCTATACAACTTTTAGGGTATTAAAATTTGTCAATGTTTCAGCTATGGACAGTGAAATCCATAAAAAGCTACAAACAATTGCCTATGTTTGAAATATCCTCTGAGACTGAGAAATTTAAATAGGAAGCTTTAAGGGGACTAAGACATGGACCTAATAGCAATATAGACTCTCTTATTATTATTATTTGTTTATTAGCATTCTTCTGTGCAGAAGGAAAACTGAGTAATAGTATTTTCTTCATAGATCCTACTCTTAGATGCTAAGTGTCTATAATAATTTTCCCCTTAAATAAATAAAACATAAAATTCTCTAAGGCAAAAGTTAGCAAATTTTTACTGTAAAGGACATGTACTAAATACTTTAAGCTTTGTAGAGCATATGGTCTGTGTCACAACTACTCAACTCTGTTGTTCTTACACACTAACATATAAATGAATGAGCATGTCTGTGTTCTGATAAAACTTTATTTAAAAAAAAAAAAAAAAAAAACAGGCAGCAAGCTACATTGGGTCCACAGGCTGATCCCTGCTCTAAGGGATGAATGGAAATTACAGGGACCGCCAATGACTCATCAAGTCAGAAGTTTTGGTTGGATGACAGATTTCAGGAGATACTACTGATAAATATGCAACTGTTAAAGATTTCTCGTTAGTGATAAATGCCATCACGACTGGGGGGCGGGGAATGTCATACCCATTCTCCTGACAGAAATATCCGCCACCTCAAGACTTTTGAACCTGGAACAACTTGTCTTTGACAATAGATTTGGATTCTATAGCTTTGTTGATGATAGGTGAACTCATTCCAGCTCCCCAACCTGGAGTAGAGCAGAGAAAGGACCACTTAGAGGAATCAAAAAACACAAAAAGTGAGAAGCTAACAATAATATTAATAATAATAACTGCTATTTATTGAACTGTCCTCCTCATCACTATGGGTACTGTTGTCCACATTTTATAGGATACAACTAAATTTTAGTTTGGGGAAAAAAATACTAGCATCAAGTCTATTCTGACTCATACGGACCCCATAAGACAGAGTAGAACTGCCCCATAGGGTTTCCAAGGCTGTAAATCATTATGGAAACAGATTGCTTCATCTTTCTCCTCCGGAGGGGCTGGTGGTTTCAAACCACTGACTGTTTATTTAGCAGCCAAATGCATTATAATATGCCCAATATTACACAGGACTGGGATTTAAATCCAGATGAATTGCTTTCCATTTTGCCACTACACTGCTCTCAACAAAAATAACACAGCTTTCCCTGGACACCCAACTTTTTTCAGATTCAGAACCAAAGAGGAGGAGGTGGAGTAGGGAAAACATCTTCCTTTTCCTTTTACTTTTTCCAATAGTATGTTGTGTTTAAAACATAATGATAAATATCTCCTGAGTCAGCCACTACTGTGTGCCAGGCATAAAGCTTTCATTACAATATATATACATATGGGGGGGGGGCGTTGAGAGGGAGAGAGAAAGTGAGTTCTTATGGTGCAGTGCCTAAGGAATTTGACTGCTAACTGGTAGCGTAGTGCCTAAGGCACTTGACTGCTAACCAGAAGGCTGGCAGTTCAAACTCACCAGCCACTCCTCGGAAAGAAGGTTGGGCAATCTACTTCCATAGTGGTACTGCCTCGGAAACCCAAAGAGGGGTCGTTATGAGTCAGGTCCAACTCAATGGCACATAACAACAACAATAACTCTGCAGAAGGAAGACTGTTGTTGTTATGTGCCGTCAAGTCAAACCTGACTCATAGCGACCCCTCCTTGGGTTTCCGAGGCAGTATCACTACGGAAGTAGGATTGCCTAACCTTCCTTCCGAGGAGTGGCTG